CCTCCAATTTGGACACAACTGGGCAGGTCCATGGTGATGAGCCAGGAAGCCAGTGCCAGGCTGGAGCTTGGCTTGGTGGGGCCCATGGCTGGGCAGGGCAGGGCTGTGGGGAGCTGGAGGCCAGCCCTGCTGTGGCATCGCTGGGGCAGGGGCTGACATGTGGTCCTGGGCCATGGGCAGGGTCGGGGGAGCCCTGGGAGGCTGGGCAGGGCTTTGACAGGGCCTTAACAGTTTCCCAGTTTTGTCAATTACATTTTTGGTTGCTGGTTGCTCAGTTTTTAATCTTAGTTCAGTGTGAGAGTCCTACAGATACATCTGTCTGGGAATATGGCAGAGGAATCCCTCTTGCAAGGAACTGAATTCTCTTTGCCAGATGGCATTGACATTTCCTTATCTTTTCTGGTTTTCCAAAAGACTGGTTGTGACAAGAGGTGGTGCAGCATGTTCTGCACAGATGTAGCAAGGACATCTACACCATCAAGGAGCGTGTGGAAATCATACCTATCTAGCTTAGATGTACTCATTGTTGAACAAATGCAGCTTTAATAGTTTAGCAACAAGGTCATCACGGGGCTTCTTTCCCCCAATCCTTCCATTCAAAAATCACAGTTCTTCCCACTTGCCACTTACCTAACTGTCCTCAGTCAGAGGAAAACACTCCAGAAAACATATAGCTGTTCGTTACTTAAGAGTTCGTGGCAGTAAGAGCTTTGGAAGTCCCACCCCGCACCAAAGTGAGGAGTTTGCCACAGTGTCAAAGGCCTTTCTGACCTCGCTGCACAAATGTCAACACCATGGCAACCGTGGTGGATCTAAACCCAGACTATCGTGCTCTCCTCCTACACAGACATTTGTGGGTTCAGACCCATACCATAAATCCATGTCAAGACCACTGTGTTCCAGGAGGAGAGGCCCTGTGTGCGTCCCTCTGTCTCACCATTGAGCATCACAGTGGCCTCATTCACGATCTCAGGCCATGAAGCAGCCACAGGGACAGCACCAGACCGGTGCTATGATACTTGTGCACCATCTCCCTCCTGGAAGGATGCCAGGCATTCACTCAAGGCATACACACGTTTTATTTGGGTGCATCAAGCAAACCACATGCCCTAGGCCCAGCATGTGCCTAAGAATTACCACCCAAATGCTTGGAAGTGCTAGGCAGATCTCTGAGGGGTTTCCCTCGTTTCTCACGAGGAAGAAACATGGGGACTGTGCACCTTTGGAAAATCATATCTGGAGCATGACTTGCTGTTGTGCTGCTCGTCTGCTCATTTTCAGGCCCTGCAGTACGCATCATATTTCATCTTTGCTGCCAGCTTTGTTCCTCCTAGGCACTCTTCAAATTTTTGGTCCATTTCTTCATTCTGAGCTTTAGAGAAGAGGTCTCTCCAGTTCCCAACAACCCCTGTGTACAACAAGAAGTACCAAAAACTGAAGGCAGCTGCTCCTGAGAAAGTGTAATACTTGGGCAGCAATGGGGCAGAATCATTGCCCACATAAGGTGGGAAGGGTCTGATTTATGCTCCTGAGAGGTCTGATTGCCTGTGAGAGGCAAGGTAGCAAATATAAGAAGTAAAGGCTGCAGCCAGTCCACAGGAAGCATTGCTGGTGGGCTGCCTGCATGCCTTCCCTCCCCAGAGGGTGTTTCCAAAGTGGTTTCATGAAGCTTTTGCACAGAAGAGAGGGGAACGTGGTTTTGTTGCAAGGGAAAGCTCATTCATGAATGTCTCTCTCTGAAGGGGGAATCTATTTGGGGCAGTGGGGTAGGTGGTAGAGAGGAGACTGGTTAAATCTTTCTTCCTCCAAGGAGTAGTGAAGGAAAGGGATTAAAGCAAGCCTATGTCCACGGTAGTCAGAAACCAAAGATTCCTGATGCCATGGGGAGTAGCTGCGCTGCCAGACCTCTGGCCCTAGCCCCAGGTCTGTGAGGGACCATCTCTGGGGCCACCACTGACACATCCATATTGAGACTATTCCTCAGCTCTCACTGAGTATGTAACAAGAATACACCTGTGAAGCCAGCAGAACAGTCAGCAGTGCATTCTCTTGAGATTCAGGAGACTCCTGTCCCATTAGCACACCTCCTCCCAAAGGGGACTTTCGTGAAGTGACACATGCAGCCTGGATCCATGATCCATGATCAGCCTTATCACCTGATCGCTAGGCAACAGCCACACCACAACCCCTCTGTAAAGAGTAAGCATCCAGCCCAAGCAGGTTTGGTGCATAATTGTTGGAATAACCTACACCAGTGTTGGTCCCCACCTTCACACCTCACTTGCCTAACTAACCAGGGCTGCCATAGGGAAATAGAGCAACATGGAAGCAACGGCTGAGGACCTTAAGCCTGGCATTCTGGCATGTTTCTCGCAAACAGCCCCCAAATCCTGTTAACAGCAGAATCTTGTTGCACAGGATGCCACAGGAGAGAACTCACCCACACTTGCCCTTCCTAGATAGCCCAGTCAGCTCCTGGCCAAGTGAGGAGACCTACCCAGAACTCCTTCTGGAGTTCTGCTTTAGAAGGTAGATTCTGCATTTGCAGAGACTTACCCTTCCAGAAGAGGATGTCCCCAAACTGTCCATGGGTTTCCTTGGATTTCTCTTTCATAGCTTGGAAACTGGTATTAGCAATTCTGTGAAAATCTTCCTCACACAGGGAGAATCCAAAGAAGGCAGCAATCTTTTTCATTCCCAGTACTGGGTCCTGGCCAAAGGAACATAGCATAGAGGTGAAACCAAAAGACTTGACACCATGGCTGTGTCACGGAGCCAGCACTCGGTAGGAAGCCCAGCAGAGGAGGCTGTCTCCCACAGTATCGCTAAGGAATTCCGAGAACTCTAACAGAGAGGGAACCCACATTTAGTGGCCTCAGCTTTCAAAAGCAACTGTGCCCGTGCCAGACATGACTCTTTCCACAAAGAGGGAAGGCTATCATTCTCCTAACTGCCATAGGCCTCCTCCAAACCTGAAACAGTAGGTGACAAAGGCATACCTTTCTAACAGGGTGGACAGGCTTGACTCAAAAGTTTCTTTTTCCCCAGAGCCATATATGTCAGAGGGGGTACACAGTGCACTGATCAAGAGCTGGGTGAGATGCCACACCTCTTTGAGTTCCGCATAGCTTATCATCATGATCCTCTCGTGGTCAATGTATTTGTTGCATTCGACTAAGTGGTCAATGTATGATCCCCAGGCCACTGCAGACAAAGAAGAGACATAGTTGTGTAGAGTATTCCTCAAAATTGGCCCCCTACCAAATCAGGGGAGTCAGTCCAGACAGCTCTCTAAGTGTGGCATCAGGATGGTGAAGCAGCAACCAACTCAACATGTCTGTTCTTTTGGCTGAGGTCAGTGCAGGATCCCCCAGCTCTGGCCACTAGCTAGCACTGAACGACAACTTCTATTGCGGGAATGGAAAAGTCAGGCTAAAGCTTTCTCATGATCTCTTCATTCTGAGTTAGAGAGAAAAGAAACTGATTTTGTGGTACTCTCTGTTTCTGCCATAACATGGGCCTATCTGCCTGTCCTGGGAGTGACTTGGCAAGGTGCCTGTCCTGGGAGTGCCTTGGTAAGGTATGTTGGAGTAGGATTCCCATGCACAGGGTCCTGTGTATGTCCCTCATGTAAGGAGGAATGACAGAGGATGCAGGGCAAAGTACATTTCCCGTTCATGCAGGCTGGAAAGTACTCATCCCAGCAGGTGAAGGATGGCAGCAGTGGCATGTTGTAGAAGTGGTGATAGGAGACAGCCGTGTCTTTGGGGTCTCAAACTAGCACAAGGATCCAGAGGAGGAAAACACATAATCTTGTTCTGATTTGGTGACTGATCAAAATGCCATCTTCTGAACACATCACATAGAATCATAGAATCATTTAGGATGGAAAAGACCCACTAAGGGGGGACCTGGCACTGAGCCTTGTTGAATCTCATACAATTGGCCTCAGCCCATCTATCCAGCCTTTCCAGATCCCTCCGTAGAACCTTCCTACCCTCAAGCAGCTCAACACTCCTGCCCAACTTGGTGTTGTCTGCAAACTTACTAGTCCACTAACACCCCCCAGACCATACAATGCTAGTCTAACTCCTTTTCTTGAGCAAGAAATCAGAGCTTTGGCAGGCCACTTGCCGCTAATATCAGCTTCAGGCTAAAAACAAGCAGCTTTTCAGTGAAGTCCTTGGGACATAGTTCTGAGCTAGTTACAATCCAGAGAAATGAGGTCATGGGCTACTGAACAGGAGAGCCGCAAGCAAGCTGTGGGTGTATGCTTGCTTCTCTCTGCAGCAATTCCCATTGAAGACTACCTTAGCCCTAGCCCGTGGTGGGCTTTCCAAAGGTACTCTGGTCTCGGAGGCAAGTTAAAACAAACAGACTTACTGCTTGTCTTGCTCAGTTTTCTGACACAAACCTGGAAGCATCTTTCTGAAGGAGTTCTGAAGGGGCAATGACACCCAGCAACAAGCCCACTGATAGTAACCTCTTGAGTCAGCAAAGCTGCTGCTGGGAGAGGACGTTTGTTCACATCCTCAGCACACAGCACTCTGCCTCTTCAACCCTGGAAATGTGCCTGTGCATTGACCAGCCCAGGTGAAACTGAAGAAAACATATTTCACACAGACAGAGGAAAGCTAATTTGGGGTGGAAAAGCTTTGACAGAGAAGAGGAGAAGACTCACCTTAGCCTTGCTTTGGAGAATAGATGGGGGCAGGAGATGAGGTGGCAGACGGGTTAATATAATTCTTCTGGAAGGCAGTTTCTTCATCCTCTTTAAAACAAGTGGGAAGAAATATGTCAAGACAGAGGTAGCTTATTCAGTGACAGGTGCGTTTTCAGGAATTGTGGGTAATAAGAAAAGGTGAGATCAGAGAAGAAGGATCTTATCCCTTGGAAAACTGGTAGTGTAGGCTTCTCTTAGCCCCTGCCACAAAGCACCATTTCACATGAGACAGGCCTGAGGATAGGACACCCAAGAGAAAGGTCTTATTGACCAAACCCACTGGGTCCAGGGCTGGAGCCGCTGTGGCTTCTCAGCACTGTCTGTGCTCTGAGGCCCTTGTGTTGGGACACCAAGGGCAACAGCACATGCTACTTGTACAGACCATAGCTGTTGTTAAGGCTCTAGGCTGTCCATTACCTCTGAGATCAGCCATTGTCTTTCATCTGTAACTACCTATAAGAGCAGTGCCAACATCTTTAGTCCTTGCCAACCTCATATATGCCAGAATCTCCAAATTCGAGAGGTGAAAATGTCTCTAGCTTCTTTTCAGCATTTCTTCTTTCTTCCATTTCTTCTGCATATTTGGCATCTGTTGATTCCAAATCCCTCATCATTTACCCAAGCCAGTTTGTTCCTGAAAGGATAAAGACACCAGTAGCACATCCATTCAACTGCACTTTTTCAGGTCAGCCTAGCTGACAGCATATCCTGTCAAATTGGTTCACATTGGTGAACCAGTTTGGCTCTATGTTGTACTTTAGCCTGTCAAGAGGTGGGTGTGCTGGTTTTGGCTGTGATACAGTTAATTTTCCCCATAGTAGCTGGTATGGGGCTATGTTTTGGATTTCTGCTGAAAACAGTGTTGATAAAACAAGGATGTTTTAATTATTGCTGAGCAGTGCTTACATAGTATCAAGGCCTTTTCTGCTTCTTGCACTGCCCCACCAGTGAGTAGGCTGAAGGTGGCAAGAAATTGGCACGGGAAACAGGTGGAACAGCTGATCCCAACTGATCAAAATAATATTCTCAAGGCCTTTTCTGCTTCTTGCACTGCCCCACCAGTGAGTAGGCTGAAGGTGGCAAGAAATTGGCACGGGAAACAGGTGGAACAGCTGATCCCAACTGATCAAAATAATATTCTATACCATACGACATCATGCTCAGCATATAAAGATGGGGGAAGAAGAAGGAAGGAGGGGACACTGAGAGTGAGGGCATTTGTCTTCCCAAGTAACCGTTACGCATGATGGAGCCCTGCATTCCTGGAGATGGCTGAACACTTGCCTGCCACTGGGAACTGGTGAATGAATTCCTTATTTTCCTTGCTTGCATGCACAGCTTTTGCTTTACCTATTAAACTGTCTTTATTTCAACCCATGAGTTTTCTCACTTTAAAAGATCTTTTTCTCTCTCCCATCCCACCGGGAGGGGGGAGTGAGCAAGTGGCTGCTTCGGGCTTAGTTGCTGGCTGGGGTTAAACCATGACACTGGGCAATAATTAACAAGGGTATGCCAAAAGCCGACAGGGACAGAGCTGTGAGCCAAACATTTTGGAGTGCTACTCTGCTCGCTTCAGAAGTACATCCCATCCCACAGTGGAAACAGAAGCAGACCTCTATTGCTCTTCCCAGTTCTGACACTTTTTGGTCACCTCAGACTTCTCCCTGTGGAAATGACTAAAGAGCAGTGGACCTCCTAGCACAGAGCCAACTGAGTCATCCCTTGGCTGTTTCTGCTCTCTTTCCACAGCACTGTCTTTGGGAACACTCTATTCCCTCCTCCTGACCAGCTTCAGTTTATGATCTCTTCATGATCAACAGTTTGGCTTCCTTAACTGGCAGCAGAAGAGATCAGCAACCAAACCACCAGATCGTCAAGCTCCTATCGCCATCTTTGCACCAGGCATAGCTGTCTTGGCCTCTGCAAACTGGCAAAACTCATGTGTGAAGGACCGGGCTTGGAGAGCCAATCTCAGTTTTCATGTAAGACCTTCTGGGATGTGTAGGTGGATCCTTACACTTTAAACCATTTCTGCCTGTGCACAGCTTTACAGGCTGCACACAAAGGGGATATGATAAGGATCAACAATTCCTCTTTTTCTGCAAATGACCTAGTAAGGTATTTCTCTAAAGTCATTAGGGAAAAAAAGAAGGAATCTAAAATGCCCATAGTGAAAGAGAGAGGAAATAATCCAAGAGCAATGGCATTCATGTCTTTCCATCCATTTAGATGTATGGGAATCACCTGTGTTCTGCAATGCAGTAAGTCTATGGAAACACCAGTTCTTCTGCCCTCATTAGCAGGATATATTCCCTGTATTGCCCTTGCAGAAAGTAGGGTAACAACTTACTTTCCTGCCTTAGCAAGAGTGGTCAGAATACCAAGGGATGTGATCATCCTGCTTTACCCTACCCTGGTAAATTCACCACTTGAATACTGTGTGCAGTTCCTGTAGTGAAGCACAAGCAATTTTGAGAACCTGGAGACCGTCTTGCTGAACTTCCATGAAATCATTGGGAGCTGGAGCAAATAAAATGCATAGAAAGGTTTGCTCAGGCTCGGGAAAAAAAAAAAAAAAAAGACATGGAGACGAGGAGTAATCTCACTGCAGTCTTCCACTAATGGAGGTTATAATGAAGACAGAGCCAACTCTTCTGAAAATTGGCCAGGAAATGACAAAATGGGCATATTACAAATTATAACAAGAGGAAGTCTGACTGCATGGAAGTAAAAAACCAACCAACCCCCTGCC